ATCAACCCGACCAACCCGATCAACCCGAACGGGTTGGGTTGGGTTGGGTTGAACTTTTGTTTGGGTTGGGTTGGGTTGAAAATTTTCAAACCGCCAACATTGGGTTGGGTTACTAAAACGGCTCCAAACCGATCAACCCGGACCGTGAGCACCCCTAAAGATGACCCAAAAACCCACGGTTACCCAAAAAAAATCATTAATGACCGGATATGCTTGTCCATGATGGTTATGCGATTACGAGCCACACACATCTTGTACGGTTTTAGCTACGTTATATGACCTTACCGAAATATCTCCTCCCCGTTTAACATGCTCATACGTGGTTTTGATCATTTAATATATAAAAAATCATGGGTTTTATTCATATTATAGATATGATTGCAAGTCTCGTTTAAACTTGATGTGAAAAGATAGAACATAACCCACAAGTAAGAAATACATAAAATAACACAGATAAATAATATTGTAGATTATACGCCAACATGAATTAAATACTTGGGCCATACGATCAATCTGATTGGATATCTCGTATTTGATGTACGGGAACACGAATTTATTAGGCCACGTTACTTAGATTTCCATCTCGAGTCTAACAAGTACAGGTGGGCCTCTTGCTTTCATTCAACCAACTTTTTCATCTGCTTTAACTTTATGTCACTTAGTTACGAAACCTTATCGAAAGTCAAAACCATGTGATGTGTGGTACCTTTCGGTGGGGTATTTCAGTAAAAGCTTGACATTTGTGGCTGAGATATTTCCCTACTGATATGTTCTTTGAGGAAGAATATATTGTGAAAACTCCAACCCTTTTTTGTGAGATAGATCAAGCATGAACACTTTAAGTATATGTTGATCATCAGAAATTTCATTATTAAATATTAAAAAACCACAGTTACATTTTTGTTACAATTTGAAGTTACGTGAAACATATTACGACACACAAGATTGATAAATATGTCTAGATAGATGTATTAGGTCATGGAATCCATGGCCATGATGGTACTTAGGTTCATTGGATACATGTATTTATCGGAACCAGTGTAAATGGTTTCAACGATGATCTTGTTTGCACGCTCTGTTGGATGAAACGGATCCCAAAATACGTAAATATCTCTATCGGGACAAAGATTTGATGTCGGGTTACAAATGCCAACCCCGTTAAATGGTCCTTGCCCACAACATGCCATTTTCGATGTTATAAAACCTATGCAAAAACAAAACAAAAAATGAGAAAATGAAGTTAATCATATAGTCAGATTTTGTAAGGTTGAATTAGAGAACCGGAAGATATTGTTTTTGCAACTTACCAAAGGCTCGAGGATTACTGATGAAGTCATTTTGCATAAGCATTGCATTGACAGCAACAAAGTAGTCAGAGCCCAGCTCTTGGTTGAGGCCTTGGATCATTTGAACGAGTTGTGGGTTGAATAAAGCCGATGCCTGTTGAGGCTCGGATGCACATTGCCCGTTTGCACCTCTTGAAGCTAATTGGGATGGAACACAACCCAACGGTCCAGATCCTGTCACTAGGATTCGTCTTGCTCCCAAATCAAATAATTTCTGCAACGAATATTTCTATCAGTAAAATCCACATATATAACAGTTAAAACAATTTTTAACCATAATATAGCATACAACTTTTAATACAAACACATATATTATTTAGAAGATTTACCATAAGAATGTTACGGTATTCTGAAATAACATATTTAGTGAATTGGGGAATGCTGTATTGTAGCCTTCTTGCAGTAATCGGTGCCAAGAAGTAGTTGTTAACGAAGTCATTGCCTCCTAGTGTGATCAGAACTAGAGCCTTGTTCACGAGCCGTTCGGTTCGATCTGGTCCGATCATTGCACTTACCCGAGCTTGGTATGCTAGAAAATTCTGTAGTTGTTGAGTTATTCTTATAATATTTGCCTAGAAAAAACAGTTAAAAAACATCATGTTATAAAATCATACATTAAAATTTTAACAATAGCAAAAAGACAAAATCACCCTTTCCTTTTTTATGCAATATTTATATGCTTAAATTGGAACTTAATTATGAAAGGGAAGGTCATTTTCGTCACATTCAATTATTTGAGGCAAACCTTCTTTAGTGATGAAAGGAGTCTTACCACATGACGTAACCAGGTGAATGGTCAAAAGTCAAAATGCATCAAACAGTTGTACCTAGATGTACAATTTTATGATGCTGGATTTTAGATATTTTTTTTAAATAAATCATTAAATAAAATAATGAGATAGGTTTACGTGATTGGTGCACATAATAAGAAAACGAAAAATATCTCTAAATCACTCAAAAAGGAAAAAGAAGAGTTCGAAATCAAACAAAAAATAAAAAATCCTTCGAAACGGTAGAATTCGTTTAAAATACATCGGACGACTTTACAGGCATGTGATCCATCTTATAGGTGCATCCGCTCTGTAAAAATCTTGGGTGAGTGCGTTGCATGTAAAAGGTACAACCGATAATGCACGACTTACAAATTGAATTCCGGTATCATTGAGAACTCCGATCCCGGCGGAAGCAAAGTTTGCTCCAACTAGTAGCTTATTTCCGTCCAACTCCGGGCTCAAGTATGGCAAAGTCGGTTCCGACCCGAGCTTTTGACCTGTGTACACAAACGTTGTACTTATGTTTAAACTCATGACTTTCAAATTATTGCTTCCGTCACTAACCAATCATACCGTACGTAAATAAAAGCGGTACTATATATGTCAGAAATGTAATGTGACGATACACAACTTACTTATAAGGTCGGGAATGTTAAGTCCGTTGGAGAATCGGCCGGTGGGACGGTGCGTGGGAAAATCGATGCCGTATGGCGGGGAGTCGGCACGGGCGGTAGTAAGGAGGTAATTATTGTTGCCATTATCGACCAAAGAGTCACCAAACACAAAAAAAGCACGAGCCGCGTGAGCTTTTGGCAAGGCTGCAACTAGTAACAACGTTAGGACCGCCACCAATGGCGGCAGGGTGGCGGAGAGGGTGGAGGAGGAGGAGGACTTAGCCATGTTTTGGGGGTGAACACGAGAATAAATGGTGGTTCATGGTGGTGTTTTATACAGCGGTTTCCAGGGTGCATGGATGTAAGTTCTTTAGTTAGTTGAGGTCTAATAAATGTAGGCTGAGAAAAGAGGGTTGATATATATAATATGGAAGCTAAATTTATTCAAGTATAATAGAGAGAAGGTAAGAATCAAAAATGTGAATTATTTAAAAAAAAGTGAACGATTCATATATGAATCATATGAATAATTTATAATTTGTTTTCAAGGACAATAATGTGAGGGGGTATTTTTGGCTCATTTAGCGGTTGAGGCTAGCGAAGACTTGGGATCGAACCAGAACCTGTCTTGTATTTGGGCAAAGTCGCACCATCCTTTGCCAACTGAGCTACACGTCAGAGACAAAAAAAATTCCGATATGAAATGGGATCATGTGAGACCAAAATGTTTTTGTGAGACCATATAAATAACAATGTTATGCTGTGAAGTTTCATTATTATTTGGTGGTCTAACGAAAAAAGACTTTTCTTACGAGATCAATAATAAAAGACGACAACGACCTAATGCGGCTAATTGAATATGCTCAAAACTAAATAAAGGAAACACAACCAGAATCGGGTCGCGATCAAAGCCAGCTAAAATCGTGATCATCGTCTTCTAAAATTGGAGTAGAAATTGGGGCTTCTCATTTATTGGGTAGACGATGGATCAATGCATTAATAGACCGAATGAATTTATGGTTTTATTTTTATTTAAATAAAAATAATTATTAGTCAGTATTTATTTTATTAAAATCTGAAGAAAAACCCTGAAGAAACGCCAGGGCCGATCTTAAGATTTTTGATGCCCTGTGCGAAAATAATAAAAGATGTCTCTAAGCCTATTTTTTAAGCCAATGAAACAACTAAACATGCGATTTTTTAAAGAGTTTAGAACCTATTCAAACTAAGTGACTCATTCCTATGTTGATTTTTATTAATTATAATAAAAAAATAAAGGGGGGGGGGATAAAAACCAAAACCCTAAATACAAAATATAGTATGATAAAAGAATAAATCCTGTATTAAGATCTTGCTTTTTTCTTTCCCAGTTTTTCTTTTTCCAAATTGAAATTAGCAAAATATAAACTTTATTTCAATATATGGCACTTAACAGACAAAGAAAACTATCATTAGTTTTTAACTAAAATAGTAAATTATATCCAAATTACTGTCATAGTAAACAAAAAGTAAAACTCAAAAATTATAGGTGTAACAACTAAAGGCTAAGGGCCTATCTATTAACAACTTAATAAGCTTAATGGAACTAGCATGTTATTTGCTCAACTACGCATGATTGTTTCGTAGTGGCTTAATGATATAGAAAATGACTTATCCAGTAAGCTTCTAGAGAGAGCTTTATATAGAAAGCCAAGTTTTTTTTTTCCAAACACGTCCTTTCCAACTAAAAAAACGCTCCTTACATCTGCGAAAAAACTCTCTCAAACAAAAAATTTCCAACTTATACAAACAGATTAATTCATACAGACAACTTTATCCATATAAAACTTAATAAAAAACCAATCAAATGCCCCCTAAATTTAATGTGGTAATGTCAAACCTCAAATTAAACAAAAGTCAAAAGAACAATAATAAATTGTAAAATCCATAATCTATGTTACTGTGTATTGCAAATAACAAGTGCCCAATAATTAAGACAGTATCACAATATGTTGTTAATGTTGGTGCAATGTGCTCTAACTATGCTGATACAGTGATGTACTCATGTGCATTGAAAATTTCAATTCTCAGATATTTCAATATGCAAGAGGAAGACTCGTTATCAAAATGACAAAAGCCCCTTAGCTTATCCTAGTAGGTCGGTAACGCACACGACCATATGACCCATCTTTATAATAATCAGTTAGAAATTTAGACATTTTTGCAAAAAGATCTAAAGATTCATAAATCATAATATGACTCACACAATAACTTGGTAAGTTCAATCAACAGTAGAAATCAGTCATTCGAGATTTACATCTTTGATTTCTTGAATCTAATTTCATGATCGTTAATCAGCTGGAAAGAGAACTTCATGCCTTGAGAATCAAAATAGTCGAACTTTAAAGAACAATAGAAATTAGATAGAGTTGTTGGAATGATAGCGTTAACTTGTTCACGATATACATTCAGTATTCATCACTACTAAGCCTTGGGCATGTTTTTATAGTTAAAGCCCAATTGTCCAATTCCCAAATTATTAAACTCAAAACGAGTAATAGATGACAACTTGATTACCCTTTAAGCTTTGATGCCCTGTGCGACCGCACGGGCTGCACGTGGTCAAGGCCGGTCCTGAGAAACACATAACACTGCGTATAACAAAGAATTGTTGTATCATTAAGCCCATGAGAAAGGAATGTAACTTCGATTTTTAATAATAATTAAGATGTCTGTTAAGTCGTTATCATGCATCTTGTTTAAAATCAACCATTTATATTGATTGAAAAAGATGTATATCAATAGAAATACGAGAATGTGATTATGCATGTCATCTTCTTCCGATGAATCAATTGTATGTTACTATTTATGTAAATTTAATTAAGTTGATTGTAACGGAATGATTGTTACAAATATAAATATGTAATTTTTGTGATAGGAACTGTTATGGTTGTAAACGAATCAAGCGAATACGAATACGAATACGGATGGATAAATAAAGATAAACGAACAAAAGTTTATGTTTATGTAAGAGAATGAGTTTGTTTGTGTTCGTTGACGTCTGTCTGTTCATATGTTAAACGAATATAAACGGATGAAAAACAATCAACGTTTGTCACTCTAAAAAAACATAACAACTGATAATGCAGTTGCATTTTTTAAAACTTTAGTAAAAAGCTAAGTAAATTAAAAACCTATAATATATTTTAAAACTACTTAATAAATTTATTATTAGTTATTTAATACGTATATATAAACGAACACCATCGAACATAAATAAACAAACGTTTACGAAAGAGACATTCGTTTGTCTTTTTTTATTTAGTTAAACGAACCTGAAAACTTATTTATTTCTAGATGGGCAAATTGCATGAAAAACGTACTTTTTTAAAACTTTCATTTTGTTATTTAAGATGTAAAGTTTTAAACATTTAAGTACCCGGGTAACCGGTTGAAGCATTAACGGGTTACCATGTTGATGTGACTAGTGATGTGATATTCAACTTTGTATTATTTGCTAACATTGATATCTTAATCTAAAATTAGTTTTTATATATTGTGGTTTATTATAAGAAATAGTTAATGCTTCAACCGGTTACTCGGGTACTTGATGTTTAAAACTTTACATCTTCGGTACTAAAATAAAAGTACGTTACCCAAAAAAAAATAAAGTTAATGTATGTTACTTTTTCATACAATTTGCCATTTTTAGATAAACAAAATTTCGTCGTATGGATTTCGTTTTACCTTAATGAAGACAAATAAATTAAATGACATGAAATTGTTTCGCTTAGTTGGCAACCGGTCAACATTTACAATTATTTAGGTAGACACATACATAAATATTTAAGATATCAATATCATAAAAATAAAAGTTTTGAAAATATGTTATTTTAATAGCAACTAAAACAAATTACGTTGTATTTCATGAAATTCACGCACTTCATTAAGGTTGCACATGGATGGGTTGGTCGGATAAAGACATTTGAACAAACTAATCAAATGTTTGCGGTTTAAAAAGTCTCGAACTAACCTAACCCAACGATACAACCCAATCCGTGCGGATTGGGTTGATCATGTTGAAACCTTGGTATATGATATTAAATCCATGGAACATAAAGTCATCAGGTTCATCGAGTTAGGATGGGTTCACGTGGCTCTAACTCGATTCTAACCCAATATCTACAATTTAAAGATTTCATAACTCGTTTAAGTATCGAGTTGCTTCGTATTAAGTTGAATTAGGTTATTTTAAATTGAGTTGATCGAGTTAGTCGGGTATTTATATATCTCTAGGCTCTATAGTTATTAAAACTAGAAAAGGTACTCGTACAATACAGTGAAATACATCTCGATTTTAATGTTTTTTTTTTGTCTCAGTTGATGTTATAATACAATTTTATGTGGTTTTGAGAAAAAGATAATGTTTTTATTTTGAACAAAATCTAAATATGAAGATATGTCATTAAAAATTGAAAAAAAATATTGATATTAGTATCAAACTAACTATTTAAAATTTCTCATTTTTTGTGTATTTTATATTTGGTTTAAAAATATAATTTTTATAAATATAATAAATTAATAATTTTGTTAGAACTCAATAATTATCTTAATTATATTTTAGATTTTTTATATTTAAAATAAGATGATTATTCTCTATTTGATTATGTTTATCTGCAGTTAATTACACGAATTCAAACATGAAAATTTAATAAGTTGTATTTACGTGCAATTTACTTGTAATTTTAAATAATATACATAAATAAACAGTACTTCATGTATAAAAATATTTTTTAATAATTTTTATCAAATATTTTATAATATAATATATATGCTATTTATAAGATTACATTTTCGTTTGGGATTGAAATTTAATGTAGAAGGGAGACAAGATTCGATTGCTCAAACGGTACAATGAAGTTGTTTGGCTTGTTAGACCTTCTTTTTCGGCTATTAAATTATTTTTTTATTCTATTAAAAACAATTCTTTTTTGTTTTTCTTTTTAACTTTTAAAATCTATATTTATGATTTTTAATTGATAACTATTTTTAAGTTATCTATACTATATCATAAAACATGACAAAAACTTTTTAAAATCATTTTTTATACATGAAGTACTGTATATTAATTTATATTACTTAAAGTTCAAAATTACAAGTAAATTATGCATAAGTACAACTTATTGAAGTTTCATGTTTGAATTCATATAACTAACTACGGATAAACATATCATTTTAAAATATAATTAGGATAATTATCGAGTTCTAACAAAATAATTAATTATTATCTTGATAAGAAAATTATATTATTAAACCAAATATAAATTATTTCTTTATTGAACCTAAATTAAATTATAATTAAAAAAATTGAATTAAAAAATTAAACAAAAAATAGGAATTTTAAATAGTTAATTTAGTTTTTATGATATCTTCACATTTATATTTTATTCAAAAATAAAAACATCGTTTTTTTCAAAATCACATAAGATCATATTATAACATCGACTAAGATAAAAAATAAAATAAAATATTAAAATTAAGATGTATCTCGTTGCATTGCGCGAGTACCTTCTAGTTTATTATAAAGAAAGTCAATGATGCTAAAGCTTTTCCAATTTGACCTTGTCATTTTCGTCCCTCAAAGTAACAAATATAGCAGAGAAAAGGAATCAGATAAGTGTTTGTAGAAAAAGACAAGTAATTTTACAGTCAAATCCTTGTTTTGGTTCACGATAGCAATTCTTCATCATAATTGTTAGAAGGATTAAGACATTAAATAAGATGTCTTAAGCCCAAGAATTTGAGCAAAAATGGAGTTTTACTGAGTTTTATGCATTTAATATGATTAGCGGGTTTAACCCTAAATTTGTGCATGAATTGTTAGTTAAACATGTATATGAGTGTCGTACGATGCTAGTGTGCATGTTAGAATTTAGAAGTGAATCAATGTAAAAAGGACAAGTAAAATTGAGTTAGAAACGAGTTTGGTTGAAACTCGTGTTCATTGTGTTTGAAGAACAATATCGATACATCAAGCGATTTGGAAACGTGCGATCCAAGGTTGTCAGGTACTTAGGTGCAAGCCATAAAGACGAATGAGCAGCTGACGCAAGTAGAACTTGTAAGCCAAGTTGTACAAACCAGACAAGGCAAGTAGTTAAGTTATTAGAGAACACGCATGACTTTTAGTAGGAAGCAGTGAAACCATAAGCATAATAGGTTTATATAACTTTTGTGGATGTTTTAACAAGTGTTATAAAATGATCTTTAAATAAAATGTCGTATTAGTTATTTTATAAAAATATTTTAAAAAGTATCTCGTAAACTCATCTATTTATAGGACACTTATGTTCATATGACACTATTTCAAGTTGAGTCATATAAAATAACTAATACGACATTTTATTTTAAAAGCGTCATAGAATTTGTTAAGACGTCCAAAACCATCCTATAAACATATTATAACTCTTTTAGATAAGACATTTTTATTGTTTCGTCCTATAAAATATCATATTAGGATGCTCAAACATTTTAGGCATCCTATTAATGTTGTTGTAGCGAATGCTATAACTAAGCATTTTTTTTCTATTAAAGTACAACATAAAATGACGAGGTATTTAGATTGATGAATTTGTCAACCAAATATCTATCAATATCATTCATATTATCCGACATATCAATTTGTTGTTGCTGCAAAAAAGATTTCAATAATTTTCTTTTATTAATTAGATTATTTGTCATCATTATTTGATCGTGAATCTTTTTTGGTAACATATACGTTTAGCTAAAATAAAATACAAACATAATATCAATAAAAATTATATAAAATTTATACATTATTAATATATATATATACACACACATACATAATAAACATGTATATAAATAAAATTTTATAAAAACTATATATTAGCAACGGGTTGCATGAGTTGAGCTAGGCCCAACTCAATTTCAACCCTCCTAATTGGTGGGTTAGCGGTTTGGCGAGTAGATGGATCGGGTTTAATTGAGTTGTTAGCGGGTTGGGTTGGTTGGGCTTCACGGATTGATAATTTATTGTGCACCCCTAGCTAGGACATCAATATTATTAGGCACGGTATCACACTGATGCACATACATACTACACATATTGTAAGGGACGTTTGTACTTGGTTCAATCAACGGTAATACATATTCATATGTTTATGTTCATGAAAAAGTGTATTGGCTGAGTCGACAAAAGGGTATAACGATTTTGTCCAGATACAAGATAAGGGGCTGTTTGATAGTTGTTGAATGGTTTTGTGCATAATCATTAAGTAGTCAGAATGATTAAGAGGTTCTCATGATATAGTGTAAAATGAAATATAATTGTTTGGTAATTGTTTATTCATTAGGACTCTTAATGGTTAAGGAAGGCCCAAGATACAAAATCATTTAAAGGGTTTTAGAACCATTAAAAGACAAACTTTTTTTTGCCAAACAAGATTTACTTCTTAACGATTTAGAGATTGTTTCTTAATGAAATTATTAAGAGGTAAACAAACAACCTCTAAGTCTCTTTTGATCTTGGGCCCTCATTGAATGAGCAAAATAGTACCCGTTTAACAATAGTGTTGTTGAAGATGGGCGATGTATAAAAACTAATTGAGGTTGTTGGTAATCAATTTTAAAAAGAGCAAAATGCACAAAATAGCAATCTACTTTCATAAATTTCTTTATTATAGTATTTTTGTATTTTCAGTTTTTCTTATTACAACAATGTACTTTCAAACTATTTTTTATTAGAACATTGTACTTTGAAAAATTGACCCATTATAGCATTGGATAACCTTTTGATTTAAATTTACCTATTATATCAGGTTTCCGTGCCACCTCATTGTTCACGTAAGTTATCCACATGTACTATAGTGATGTGACCTTCTTACTGTATCATTGTACTTTCAAAATTATTTTATTATAACATCTACTAGTTATTATTAAATATTGTATTTTTAATTTGGGCAAATTGCATGAAAAAGTAACGTACTTTAGCTTGATTCTTATTTTGGGTAACGTACTTTCAAAACTTCCATTTTGGTACCTAAGATGTAAAATTTTAAACATTTAAATATCCGGGTAACCACTTGAAGACTAAAATTAGATTAAAAAAAGACTAATTTTATATTTAAAAAAAATTCACGTCACTGACCACGTCAGTAAATAATACCGAGTTGGATACCACATCAGCATGATAATCTGTTAATACTTCAATCAGTTACCCGGGTACTTAAATGTTTAAAACTTTACATCTTAAGTACCAAAATAGAAGTTTTGAAAGTACGTTACCCAAAATAGGAATCAAGTTAAAGTACGTTATTTTTTCATGCAGTTTGCCCTTTTAATTTTAATATTTAGATATTTTACATGTTATTTAATAAATATATTAAATGAATTAAAAAAAATCTAAAATTTTCATTAATATACCAATATCAATAAAACTAGTAGAACATACCTTATCTCGCTTATATTTTTAAAAAAATATGTGTTTTTTGAAAAAAGGAAAATAAGAATTGTTTCTTTTTTACCAAAAAATATTATCTTTTAAAGAATATATTATATTTGTTCAAAAAAATTTACTTGACGTATAAATGTATTAAATTAATTAGATTTTTTTGAATTATTTATTAATATAAAAATATTAAAAAATTATAGAACACAATTTATTTCGTCAACATTTGAGAGAACTTTAAAATATATATATATATATATATATTTATATCAACAACATAAAATAAGAAAAGTTGCTTTTTTTTATAAATAAAATATATCTCGAAAATAATGTTTCATATTTATTTAATAAATATTTTACTCTAAAAATATTTAATTTGCATGCAACTTAATAAGAAAAAGAAAAAAAAATTAAATGTTTTTTTGTCATCATAGGTATATTTTTTAAAGTATGATGACTTAATAAAAAATAATTTGAAAGTATATTGTTGTAATAAAGAAAAAAATAGAATGCTATAATAAAAAAATTCATGAAAGTAGATTGCTATTTCTTGCTTTTAATATTTTTAGGAGGTGTTTGGGATTGTTTATTTGAAACAACTTATACTTTTCTACAAAAACACCTATCAACTTATTATAAGTCAGAAGAGTTTAACTTTTTCAAAAACTCATTTTTACTGATTTGACACAGATATAAGTTGTTTATCCAAATATTCAAAAATACTTATTACTGATGACACACCAAAATAAATCAATAAATTATTTTTTATAAGCAATTGGCTAAAAAAATAATAATCGGGAAATTCGAAGTCAGAGGAGACGGTCAAGAAGAAAAGTCAAAGACGGTTGATCGATTGGACAGGATTAGGGCTTTTCTCTAACTGAAGCTACTGCAACTTTTGGGGTTTTGAACATCAAAATTCTCGGCGATATCAACGAAGAAATGAGAAAATCATGTTGCGATACGTCTCTCACATTTGCTCTCAAATTCCTGAATTTGTTCCAATTATTTGTTGGAATTTCGATTATTCTTTACTCTGTTTATATGTTAAATTGCTGGGACAAACACTTGCCAGTCCCTACTCTTCCACCTCCAGCCCCCTCGCCGGATTCTTCTGATTCCGTTTCAACCATTTTCAACACTGTTAGGGTTTCTGATCAACTGATTCATGAGAATTTTGGTGCTGACATGATGAGTAGTGTTTCCGGAAGGACAATAGTCGATGTCAGCTCCAGTTCTTCACCGTGGTAACTTCTAATCTTCTTCCCTTTTCACTAGAGACTGCAAATTTAGAGTTCTTCTATATTCGAAAAACCGTGAAACAGAAAACATGTGAGTAAATGCATCGATAACCGTGATCCTCATTAACGTGTAAGATATGAGTTTACACGGTTACTGTTTCATAATTAACTTTTACAATTTGTTTATTTATTATTATCAATCTTTTTAGAAGGGAAATTTGATTATTAATTTGTTGTCGTTGATGACTTACAACTCCATAATCCAAAATCAAATTTAATCAGTTCCGAGAAATGAGATCCACGAATGCAGGAATCTTCATCTTATTTTATTTTTCACATAACTTTGACTGTGGCAGGCATTATTGCATTTATTAATTATGTTTCCGAAGTCTTTGCTGTTATTCATAGATAATACTCCAATATACATGTACTGATATTTCATTTGATTTATTCTTCATAAGTTTGATTTTAAAAAAATGGTAAATTATTTTAAAATAGTTATTCCAAGCAATCTCTTATTTTAAGATGGTAACAATAAATTGTGAATTGTTCGTGTTTCAAATTCACCAAGTGGCATGAGTTTGGCTTCTGATCAAATTTGAAGATTATAATTAGATATGTGATGTATATCCTATTCCATGGTGATTGATAAATCGACTGATAAGTCGTTTCATGGCAAGGGTTTTTTGTTTTAATTAGGTATGGGTCTGATTACAAAGTTTATCATATGTGAATTTTGTTGATCATGTGGCGCCATTTCCACGGCAGGTTCATATATGCATTTATGGGACTGGGTGTTACGATGTGCTGTATCTCTTGCATGGGTTATATTGCAGCTGATGCTATTAACGGGTGTTGCCTTTATTTCGTATCCTTTTCTTGTCGTTTTTGGGCTGAATGCTATATTTGTTTTCATTTTCCCATAATCTTCATTTGTATGTATGTTCTAGCAAGTTTGAGTGGCCAAACTCTTGTATGGGATTAGGCAGACCTTGAAGTTTCGAAAACTTCTTAGTGTCTCTGTTAATTATGTGAAGGCTGCTACTTTGAAAAATCAAGAGCGCCAGAGCTTCTGAACATGCAGTTGTTAAATGAAAGCTCAAGTTTTCTTGATGTTGAATATCCAAGTGAAAATCTGTTTAACATAAAGGAAAATCTAATGTTTTTAAGCTGATTCACATTTGTGTAATTTTGTTTAACCATTAAAAAATGGTTACCCTTTTATGTAATCTGGCCATTGATGAAAGTAGCCTATGGAAATTTTTAAGTAATCTGGGATAGGGTATTTACTGTGATCAAAACCAAGCGTTCATTTTGTGCTTTTCCTTACAACTTAATTTTTTTTGTAATCAATATGGCTAACCCTTAGAGTTCTTTTCCTTAAAACTTAAAAATTGCAGTATGCTCTTCTGAAAACTGTATTCATCTTACTGGAGGTGGCTTTCATTTTGTTCATTGCACTTGACCGTCATTGGGAAAGGGTATGAAACTCTAATCATTGTATATGTTTATACATATTTGCTACAAAAGTTACTTCACTAATCGCATCTGCCATTTGTTAGGATCTGCCCTCGGACCCCACCAGAGAAATTGGTAGAATTCGAGAATTTGTGGAAGCAAATATTGATTTTTGTAAATGTGTTGCCATTACCATTGTTGTAATTCAGGTAAGTTTACGCATGCGTTGACTTTTACTAGTGAATCACTTCACTTTTGCTGTTATAGTCTTACAGGAAGGATTTCATACATCTCAAGCGATAATTAAAGGATTTTAGTAAAAGAATTCAGTTTAGTTATTACCTTGTAAGGTGTCCTCATAGCCTACTTTCGAGTGGGATATATCGAGTCAGTTTGGTTTGGTTTGGTTTTAACATTTATAAGGTGCAAGTGAGTACATTTTAAAGGCAATTCTATACTTTTTTTAGATAATAGTCGGTTCGATTTCTCCTAGTTGTTTGCATCTTATGATGCATAAGAAGTAGTTTATGATCGATTATGATTCTTTTGAAGTCTTGGTGCACCATGAATGGCAGTAAACAGAGGTTTCATGAGGAAGAAAACTGGCAGATTTGCAAGTATTCAATCAATATGAAAGTACATGGACCCGTTTATAAGAAATCTAAATACACTCATTGGACAAATAAAGGACGCCCTGACAAAACGTCCACTGCTAGGTAACTAACTAACAGAAAAGGACAAGCTAGCCTTCAACCATAGGAAATATTACACATTATCCCCTCATATTTACTAAGCTACTAAATATACTCCTACAAGAAGCCTTCAATCGAGGGTGATGAGTTGTTCCATCAATCACCACATTACCTAAGTGGAAATCGATTTAGATGTGCTTTGTTCTCACATGCTGCACAAGATTCGAGGCTAAAACTATAGTGGACTTGCTATCACAATACAGAGAAATAGGAATAGGAACCACAAGGGTTGTGGCATAGTGGTGTTGAGGCCATGGGGATGTGGTGGAATATCCCATCTGCCCAGGGTTCGATTCCACGCGTACATAACAATTGTGGCCACTAAGTTTATCAGGGCTGATTTCTTGCAGTTATAATTTGCCGGGATTAGTCTAGGCATAGCCTGGCTGGGACACCCTTCCAGAAAAAAGGAATAGGCACAGTCAGAGAAGTTGTGTCTGTAAAGAAGTCCGACTAAGCGATTTCACAACTTGTTCCAGCCGATGATCTGTATTCAGCTTTTATTGAGGATCTAGAGATAACTAATTGATTCTTAGACTGAGGAAATCAAGGAATCACATAAGAACATTCAGTACCCAAATAATTAAGGAAGTAGTAGATGAATAATGTAGACCATGTCCAAGAGCTAGTGTGTGAGGACTTAAGTAAGGCTTTGAAATGAGTTATTTTAGGTTTATGCATTACTAACTCAAAGACCGAGCTGCAAAAGTCAGATCTGGTCTAATCATGGTCAGATATAGTAAGTGTTCAACTATGCTTTTATGAAAGATCGATCTGCATAGTCCTCTCCTTCATTCAACCGCAATTTGATGCATAAGAGGGCTAGAACAAGGTCTTTGATCTGTACCACCAGCCTTTTTTAAAATTTCTTAGGTTGCAATAAATCCCTGTCATTCCTTAAGACTTCAATGCTAAGATAATATCCAAGAGTTCCCAAATCTTTAACATTGAACTGTAAATGAAGCTGATAGTTAATCTCATTGATCATCTGTTGACTTGTACCCAAGTGTATCATATTATACTAATAATGCTAAAAGAAGTTGCCCCCTCGGTTGTGGAGATAGCGAGTGATCTGCATGACTTCGACTATACTGCTGTTGCAACAAGAAATGATTTGAAGTGGCAACCTCTGCCTACTTGCTTGTTTGAGCTCATAAATGGATTTTTTGAAATGAACAACAACATTTGGGGTTGCTTTATTACATTTCTAAGCAGGTGTTATTGTTATATACGCTTCCTCATCCTAACCTTGATGTAAAAAGGCATTGTTTACATCAAGTTGCTCAACCC